AAGAAAAGTTTGAAGCTAGCAGAGAAATTATTCATGAAAAGAAGAGTCAATCGATGCAGCAAACTTCACTGTTGTCTTTTATTAAGAAATCGCCACAGCCACCCAGCCTTTAGCAACCACCACCTTGATGAGTCAGGAGCCATCCACATCGAGGCAAGACCCTCCACCAGAAAAAGATTACGACTCTCTCTGAAGGCTCCGATGATGATTAGCGTTTTTTAGTAATAAAGTATTTCCTTAGGTACACACAATTTTTAGACATAATGCTATTTCACACTTAATACACTACAGTATAGTGTAAACGTAACTTTTATAATCACTGGGAAACCAAAAAAATTGTGTTACTTGCATTACTGCAATATTCATTTATTACCATGGTCTGGAACCAAACCCCCAATATCTCTGAGGTATGCCTGTAACTCTCATTATTTTTTCTGTTTCAACAGATACTCTTTACTTTTTTTCTCTGAGGTAGAAAGAAAATGTTCATTTATTCCAAAAGCTTTTAGATTTGATTTGATTTAATGGTTCTCAATAATGACACTTTTGGTCCATAGTGAATTAAAAAAAAATTGCATGGTAGTGGTTAATTCCTTTTAAAGGTATTTTAGTATTGCCTGTTTTTCCTCTTATAATAGGTAAGCAAAAGTGATCCAAAGAGGAGAAAGAAAGTATAAGAACCCAACAATAAATTTAGGGTACCTAAACAATAGAAATGAGTCTCTATTTCAAACAAGTTAGGAAGATGGGATTCTATGACATAAGTACCATATGCCAACACCAATACTTGAAAAGCCTAACCCTTCTTATGCACACACACACAATTTTATAGCGACACATGCAAAAAAGAGGGGGGGAAAGCAACAATGAACATCCCTTTTGAAATTAGTTCCTTCACCTTTTATTCCTGCTCCAAAGAAAATAAAGTAAAATAAATGAATCATCTGTTTCAGATTGTCTGCCCTCCCCACAAGAAACCCAAGACACTCCCTGTTTCCAATTTCTTTCAGTCATTATACTCAGGATTGTATGGGACATTCAAAATATTATGTGAACCTGACAGTTTTTGTGAACTGAGGAAAGGTCTGTGGATTTCAGGAGCATGGTGTGAAAGAGGTGGATGAACTCATTTTTGACAAAAGCAATTGAAAGGAAATTAAATTAAAGGCAGGTGGGTTGAGGACAAATGAATAGGAGAATAGATCTACAAGCCAAAGAGCACATTACAGACCCTAGTTATGATAAGTGAACAAAAGTATCTCAAATTAGGCTGAAAAAGAAGGACAACGAAGAAGAAAGGAACGTGCTGGAATTGTGGTGTCTGCGCAAGTGGTGGAGTGGAGACTCGGAGGATTGGGGAGAGGAAGAAGCCATCCTATTTCCGCCCTTTCTCCTTGGTCTTGGCTACCTTTAGTTCCCTCAGCTACAGACAAAAAGACTAATAATAATCTCAGGAAACTTGAAGGCTAACATTTTAAAATGCAGGTGTCCCTTTACTGACAAATTTGTTGATAAATGTGTTGTAACACTGGATTAAAAATTTTACTGAAGAACATTTTATTTATTGCAGTATATTTTCAGTTACTATGCCGAAGACCTAGAATGATTCCCACCCAGTACAAGGAGAAATAGAGGTCCAAAATGTCCTATAGAGCACACTACAAAATTCTTAGTGGTAGATTTTCAAATCTTTCTGGGGCAATCTGTTAACATCTGAGCAAAATTTCTGCTTTGGGTCTATTTTTGAATCATAAGAGATCTATCGGCTTCCTTTCACTGACAGCCCTCATTTTCTGTGGGAGTTTTAATTCAAGGAAAATGAAACAATGCCAGTGAGTATTTGAGCATCTTAACTGAGAATCTTAGGGAAACATTCTCATGGTCTACAATTTTTCCATCTCCCATCTCTCCTCCTCTATAAGAATTTTTGGTTTTGTTTATTTTCCATTCATTTTGAAAGTTCTTCATGAAAGCAATGAGCTCCAAATGAGGTTCCCACTCTGCAAGTGGTCTGCAAACCATACAGTAGAATGCAGAAGAAAACATAAGCACATATTCTAATCTAGTAAAGAAATTAAACCTTACATATATTTAACATACAAATTAATCCTCGTTCCTTTCATACAGTTCATCACCCTGGCAGGTGGTCACATATTACCTAGGGTTAAAGATGTGACTTCAAAGGAAAGCAGGAATTTCACAGTCTGGGGAGGGTTGACTGAGGCACTCTGAATGTCTTTTGAAAACATTATAGTTCAGTGTGTCTGCTTTTACAAGATTTACAGCAATTATCTTAATAGTAGAATCTTTACTATACCACGTGTATTAGTATTGCTGCTGAAACAAATCACCACAAACTTAGCTGCTTAAACAACACAGTTTGTTATCTTATAGTTCAGTAGGTCAGAAGTCCTACAGGAGTCTCACCAGTCTGACATCAAGAAGCTGGCAGGCCGAGTTCCTTTCTGGGGGTGCGAGAGGAGAATCTGTTTCCTTGCTCATTCGGGTTTGCTGGCGGATTTCAATTCCTCGCGGTTGCAGGACCAAGGTCTCCATTTTCTTGCTGACTGCCAGCTGAGGGCCATCCCCAGCTTCCACAAGCCACCCCATTCTGTGGCTCATGACCCTCTTCCTCCATCTTCAAAGCCAGCAGCGAGAAGACAAGTTCCTCTCATGTTTAGAATCTCATAGCGCTGCTCTGGCCCCTTCTTCTGCCTTCCTTTTCTACGTTTAAGGACTCAGGTAATTAAATTTGCCTCACCTGCTTATTCTAGAATAAGCTCCCCATTTTAAGCCCCTTCACCTTAATCACAGCTGTAAAGTCCCATTTGCCATGTAAGATAACATATTTAAGGGTTGGAGATTAGGGTCTGGACATCTTTGGGGCACCGTTATTCTGCTTACTAAACAATGAAATTATTTGTGTCACAAAGGTTCACCCCATACCTGTACCATATTATAGAAAGAAAGAAAGAAGAAAGAAAGAAAGAAAGAAAGAAAGAAAGAAAGAAAGAAAGAAAGAAAGAAAGAAAGAAAGAAAGAAAGGAAGGAAGGAAGGAAGGAAGGAAGAAAGAAAGAAAGAAAAAGAAAGAAAGAAAGGAAGAAAGGAAGGAAGGAAGGAAGGAAGGAAGGAAGGAAGGAAGGAAGGAAGAAAGAAAGAATTATATTACCTGTTTAAATACCTTCAAAATGAAAGATTTGGCCCATTGTTCAAAATATTACAATATTCCATCTCTCAAATTGCAAAAGCAACTACTGATTGACATTAGGAAAGGCTGAAATTTACTAGGCGAATTTCAATAAAAGAGTTGGTATATTTGATAAATCAGGTTTAAATGTTTAGTAAATGACTTAGTAAGTACACCAACTGTGCACTTTTGCTATTTGCATCAACTAAGCATTCAGAGTAAACTTAACACCAGTTGTCAAAATGAAGAGAACCTTTAAAACTTATGTTCACATGAAATTCTGCACATGGATGTTTAAAGCAGCTTTATTCATAACTGCCAAAACTTACAAATAACCAAGATGTCCCAAAGTAGGTGAATGGATAAGTAAACTGTGGTCTACCCAGATAATGGAATATTAGTCAGTCCCCAAAATAAACAGGCTATCAACCCATAAAAAGACATGGAGGACTCATAAATGCATATTACTAAGTGAAAGAAGCCAATCTGAAAAGTCTACTATACTGTTTGATTCCATCTATACGACATTCTAGAAAAGGCAAAACTTGGAAACAGAAAAAAGATTGATGGTTGCCAAGGGTTGGGAGTATGGCAGGAATAAATAGTTGAAGCACAGAGGATTTTAAGGACAGTGGAAATACTCTGTATGATACCATAATGATGAATACATGGCATTTTACATTTGTTCAAACCCACAGAATATAGAACACCAAGAGTGAATCCCAATGTAAACTATGGGCTTTGGCGATTATGATATGTCAGTGTAGGCTCATCAGTCGTACTAAATGTGCCACTTTGGTGGGGGTGTTGGTAGTAGGGGAAGCTGTGCGTGTGTGGGGAGCAGAGGGTAAATGGAAAATCTTTGTACCTTTCTGTCAATTTTTCTGAGAACCTAAAACTGTTCAAAAAAATAAAATCTTTATCTCACCCCTTAAAAGTGTTTGTTTTTACATGGACATTACTAACATAGCAGTACTTTATGTAACAAATAAAAATATTGATATAAATAAATATCCTTTATAAATATAAATATACATATTTAAAATACATGTCCTAAATTTTTACTTATAGCCATAAGCCATCAAATTTAAAAGTATTATACTGATAAGTTAATACTAATTACATTCAGTTGCTACACTACAAGTTAGAACTATCTAAAAGAAATGCTTATCAATCTGATATTATCAGTTTTGCAAATTTTATAACAGGTAAATTAGATATTGGTTTGTCACCATTTCAATTAGCCACTCAAAAATGTCATAAAAGAATGGTTACCAAGGATCACAGAATCTTTTCATTTTGAAAACATTCAGCAAACATTTTTAAAATACCACTTTTTCTAATAGGTAACTGAACTTTAAACATTAAACTTTAAAAGTCCTAGGAACATTTGAGATATCACTTATACTTCTTTAAGGTGCAGGAGATTTTATTTGCTAGTTATCTTAACACATATCCCCTCATTTCTTGTGAAAACATTCAAATAAACTTTTCGAAATGAATTAATAAACAGCTAGAAAACCTCTGCATTTTTTCTATGGCTGATGTTTGTTTGTTTGTTTGTTTAGTTTTGTGACAAGAAAAACTAGTCACCAGCAAAGTTGTACATATTGTTAGCAAATGGATAACAAATTACAAATAATGCTCATTTTTTGTAAAAAAAATTATTTTTCTTCAGGTGAATGCATTTCCCCCCCCTCTCAGTCATGAAATGTACTTGTTCATTTGTGTGTGTGTGTGTGTGTGTGTGTGTGTGTGTGTGTGTGTGTTTGTAGCTAGTTTAAAAAGATAAGGTAAATGACTTCCACTTACCACACTATTCCCTGAGCCCCAGAGCCAATGGGCTTTAGGTTCTGGTAGCGCTTGAGAACCGTGAAGGTTGAGTCTCCCACTTCCACACTGTAGAACTGGTTGTCAACTTTGCTTTTGCTCATGTTGTAATGTTTGGCAATATATGACACATCCACTTGTTTATCAAATCCCTGTGAAAAAGGAGAACAGCAAAAACATGAGATAAGCGAACAACCAGAATGATAATGAGACTCAGAGAAACCTGTTCTTTTAATGATTGCTAATAGTCATCTATTATATAAATATGCATTTCACATAAAAAAAATATGTATTAGTCCATGTAAGATTACCTGGAGTAAAACAGTTTTGGAAAAAATGTCAGTCCCCCGATTTTTTCAATATTAAAGCTATTTATAATAAAATCATCTTAGATTATATCTGCATAACTTTTTTATATATTTCATCAAAACCATGCAATTATTTATGGAGCAAACATCTACTGAACATATACTCGTCCCAGAAACTATGCTATAAACTTGAGAGGTGAACTCTGGTCATCCATTATAATAGCCAAATGAGGAAGGATAAAATATTGTATCTATATTCCATTCTCAGAAAGAACTGAGATATGAAATAATGTGAAGTTTAATTTTTTAATTAGGTAAATTTTAAATAATGTTAACAACATTTATTTTCAATAATACCAAAAAATTTTACTATCCTGGATTAAACACTGAACAATTTTAGTCCAAACCAACATGATTCTAAAATGCTACAGGAGACCTCTTTATTCTTTGCAAGTTTAGATATTAAATACCTCAATTATGGTATCTTTTACTTATCTTTAAAAAAAGTTCTTCTGTCTATTAATTATATTTTCCAATGGAAGAATCTGCCCCTGACATTTTGAATCATGATTGATGAATATATATATATAATGTAAATCTCCATTATCCATGATTATTGTTTACCCAGAAATGACCTTATAGTTCATTTTATGATATGAAATAGTGTGGGTTCTCTAGCGAGAAGAGACCTCACAGAATATTGTCCAGCCTGTTCGTTGTGGCACACACTTGTGGATCCTTACCCCATAACCATCCCCTGTCTTCCTTGATGACTTTATTCAGGTTTTGAGCACTCACGTGTTCTGTGGGTTCCTCCCCAACCTCAGCAATTGAAAATTGAATAGTCTAAACCAGTGGTTCTCATTAAAGGTGGCATAACCCTTAGCAGGCATTTGGGAAATTTACGGCATGTTCTTCTGTGCCACATGATAAGAGATGTGGCTTACATTTAGTTGGCTTATCAAACAATGTTGATTGTTCTTCAATGAGAGGGACATTCCTACACAATGAATAATTTCCTACATACCTCACAACTTTTGAAGTGTGCCAAAGCTTATTTAGTGAAAAACTAAAGGGTCTCTACATGATTTTAACCTAAACTGACTTCTGAAAATCTAATTTGCATAAAATATGAAAGAAATTTTAAACCTTCTTAGGCTATGGACCACTGGTTGGTCACAAAATCATTTTCCTTGGAAAGTTTTAGCATTTCATTTCTAAAAAAAAATTGAAATAGAAATGAATATTTGTACCTGTCCACTCTTGGAAAGGGAGCCAGGCAGCGCCAATACTAATGTAAATTAGTAGAATACAGTGGGGACTGTACAGACATGGGTGGGAGTACAAGGGCCTTAAGACCCCAGGCAGACCTGAGAGGAGAATCCATACACGTGACGGGCACCCGCCTGTGATTGGGAGAGACATGGCGACAGCAATCCAGTACAAATGCACACAGACCTCAAAGAATAGGGTGGACCAGAGGTTAGGAATCTAGGCTGTTTGGACAGAAGATTGAAAATGCAGGTAATTTGAGGCTGCTTGTGAAGCAAGGCACAGGAAATTAAACAAGACTTTAGGAATCAGGGCATGGTAAGTCTATTCAGGAGACTACAACAGGGTCTAGAATTTAGACAATGGTGTGGACAGCACAGATACAAGAGCTGGAGTATTTAAACAGCCCTGGTTTCAACCACAGTATCAGGGCCTGCAGTCTACACCATGGTCCATGTCTGCTGTAGACTTTCTGATGATTCAGTAAACTAATCCTATCAAAGTCCTTTTTCTTCTCTCCCCCTGGCTAGGAAAGGTAGAAAAGCAACTGGAGCTACATTAACAAATGAATTCATCTGCCAAGGTTAACTTGGGATGGAAGAAGTGCCTGACTTGCCATCTGTCATGTTCTGACCCTTCTTTACACTCTTTAATAGTCTGGTTTCTGACCTCCCACAAAATCCTTAGCACATATTAGCCTCATGAGGCCTAGTTAATCCACTTCCCTTTCCCCCATTTATTCTCTTCCCCTTTCAAATGTCATTTATTCTGACTGCACTACACCTATGTACTAATCATGTGCAACAGCCTTTGTGTTCCAGACCCCTGACCTCACGCCAGATCTTGGCACCACCCTACTCTTTCTGACTTGGCTGTGGCTTTTCCAGTCTTCATGTTACTCCCGCTATGCTGGCCCTCTCCCCGCAACATTTCAATATATATTCAGAGAAACCAAGGGAGTTTAACAATCCATGCCTCTTCTCTTTCGGGCTTACCCTAAGGGATACAAGAGATACATTTGCAAACAATGTAATCCAAAAAAAAATGATGATATACACATTATGTGCCAGATACTGGGTATGACACTAGAGATACAACAAAAAGATACAGTCCCTGTTTTGATGGAGGCAGTCGGGTAAGCAAGTAGTTAAAATATGGATAGTATATTCTATACCAGAATAATTCAAAGGTGCTGGAAGTAAACAGAGAGCAGCAACTAACTGCTTGCAATCATTCATTATCATTAATTCATTCAACTGCTGTGTATAAAACAATTACTAGATGCCACATCACAGATATAAAACTGGTAATGTTTGAGAGGAGACTTGATCTGTGTTTTCTCCAGCTAACGATATCCCTAGATCTGTCCTCTTACTGGTTCTCAGGGATGTGCATAAGGACCAGAAAGGGAGCTTGAAAAATACAAATCATGGGCATAACACCCTGGAGGTTTGGATTCAGGCCATCAGGGTATATCATGAGGATCTGAAGATTGGTAAGCAGTCCCGGAAGTTCTGGTTTGAGGATCCAAGGAGCTGACTTTGAGAAAGACAGGATTGGAACAATCAATCTCACAGTGTGCTCCCTGGAGCACCAGTATCAGCATCACTCCCATCCACACTGACTGAATCAGGATCTCTGGGGCCAGGTCCCAATGATCTGTTTCAATAAGCCAAGTATTCTGACGCATGTGAAGAATCACTCACTGGTGGGGAGAGAACGCCTGACTGTAAAACAGGTCACACAGCTCTGCCTGAGATATTTAGAAAGTAAAACACATTATGCAGCAGAAATAGTATCTCTGCATCTGCAACACACTTTGTGTTTCTGCAGACTGACAGATTCCATTACTCATGGCATACACAAACTGGAACCAGGGTCCTAGTGAGGACAAGGACTACCCCACACTCCAGTGCTATAATAGGGTGAATCACTTCATCACTCCTGAGATGTACCCTGTAGTCTTCCCCAGTGCACACCTAAAACAAGACTTTTCACATAATGGGGAAGCTACATGTGGGCTTGGTGATAGTCTCCTAAAATTACTAAGCTTGTATCAGTGACAAAATTTTAGCAACACGGGAATCATCAGTCAAAAAGAGATAAATAAAAGCTATTCAAATGAATTGCCTAATGCCCTGGCACATTTTCTAAAGTAAAAAATACACAGTGACTTCTTTTATCTCCATTTCAAAGCACATAATTTCTCACAGTAAGATCGAAATCATTATAAAATTTGTGAATTCACACATACACATACACATACACACACACAAATTTCCTTTCAAGCATTCTCTTTATACCTAATTTTGAATTAAATTTTAAGTAAAGACTAAAAGAAAATACATTCCTGAAAGTACCTAGAATAGTTAGGAAAAGCTATTTTAATTATTAGCAGTAAGACACACAAAAAAACAATTAGGAATTTTCTTGGATTGACATCATAACTAAAAATTGAATGGCAAAAATATTGTGTTGAAGAATTTTCCCCAGACTTTATCTGTGCCCTAAGCTTACAAACACAAATTGAGTTTTAAAAAGCTTATAACATATTTTAATATCGTTTATTTTATCCCCAATTTCCATGCAGCCTTCCTTGTCATAACTATAAAGTTCAAACATAAACTTTTCTCTATAAAATGTGCCTATGAAAATATGCCATTAAACACACTATAAACAAATATTATCAATGATAAAAAAAAATTCTCTAGTTCTATGTTTTAGAATATCCTTAGATCTGGTCACATAACTGATGATTTGAACCAAAGAAGGGAAGAACCAAAAAAAGCTGATGATTTGAATCCACAAAAGAGGAAAACCAAAAATTCATATTGAGAAGGCCAATAGTTTAGTGCAGAGACTCTGAAGTTTGACCATGGATCGGAACTACCTGAGGGGCAAGGTAGGGCTAAGGGTTTGTATTTCTAAGAAGCTCCACACTTCCAGCACCACTATTTTAGAGACTAGTAGATGTAAGAGATGTCACTATTCAAAGAGGTTTAGCTAGAGAGATGAAAACTGGAAGCAATGCAGATCAAACCAAGTAAACAAGGACATGGAAAGTAAAAATAATGTCAGGATAAACCTCCTTGGTATCAGCACCTCTTTAGCAGGCCCAGATGTTAGATTCCCAAGGATGTGTTTTCCTATCTTATATGTACAGTTATAGTGCCTGACCAATGTTCTCTCAACTAGCTCATGAAAATAAATATGCATCATCTCTTTATATTAAATTTATACTAAAAAAATTAGGAGAAATGTATGAAATTCACAGGTATTCATAAATCTTCATCAAAATGAAAAGTCTCTTTTGAGAGAAGAAATTAATATGTTGATTAAGAGTTAATTATGAAGAAGAAATATTTTATCTAAAAAATTACAAATCATCACCATGGTAACTTTTGGAAATCAATATGGTTCAAAATAACTATAGGTGTATAATAAAATAGTCTATTCTATTGATCAAATTATTTTAAAAAATAACTCATCCCTCCACTGAATATTAACCTTTTATTTAAATGACTCAACAATAATTTCTATGTGGCTATAATAGAATTGTCTTTGCAAAAATT